GGGTTAGGGTCAAGATTAGGGTTCAGTTTGAAGTTGGGGTTCGGGTTAGGGTTGGGTCTTGGGGTTAGGGTTGAGATTAGGGTTGGGGTTATGGTTGGGTTTGGGGGTTCGGTTTGGGGGTAGGGTCAGGATTAGGGCTCGGCTTGGAGTTGGGGGTGGGGTTCGGGTTGGGGTTTGGCAAGATTAGGGTTCAGTTTGAAGTTGAGGTTGGGGTTAGGGTTGGGTTTTGGGGTTCGGTTTGGGGCTAGGGTCAAGATTAGGGTTCAGTTTGAAGTTGGGGTTGGGGTTAGGGTTGGGTTTTGGGGTTCGGTTTGGGGCTAGGGTCAAGATTAGGGTTCAGTTTGAAGTTGAGGTTGGGGTTAGGGTTGGGTTTTGGGGTTCGGTTTGGGGCTAGGGTCAAGATTAGGGTTCAGTTTGAAGTTGAGGTTGGGGTTAGGGTTGGGTTTTGGGGTTCGGTTTGGGGCTAGGGTCAAGATTAGGGTTCAGTTTGAAGTTGGGGTTGGGGTTAGGGTTAGGTTTTGGGGTTGGGGTTGGGTTTTGGGGTTCAGTTTGGGGTTAGGGTTGAGATTAAGGTTCAGTTTGAAGTTGGGGTTGGGGTTAGGGTTGAGTTTGGGGTTAGGGCTGGGTTTGGGGGTTCGGTTTGGGTTCCCCTCCATGCAGCCCCTCCCAGGGGCAAGGTGGGATCATTTGCACCCCGAGCATGGCAGCACCCCCTTCCCGGGGTCCCCCAGCCCAGCCCCGGGGGATCCCCCAATTCCCCCTTTCCCTCCTCTCCTCCCAGGCTATGACTTCCCGGCCGTGCTGCAGTGGTTCGCCGAGCGCGTGGACCTCATCATCCTCCTCTTCGACGCCCACAAGCTGGAGATCTCGGACGAGTTCTCCGAGGCCATCCGAGCCCTCAAAGGCAACGAGGACAAGATCCGGGTGGTCCTGAACAAGGCCGACATGGTGGAGACGCAGCAGCTGATGCGCGTCTACGGGGCGCTGATGTGGTCCCTGGGGAAGGTGTTCAACACCCCCGAGGTGCTGCGCGTCTTCATCGGGTCCTTCTGGGCCGAACCGCTCCTCATCACCGACAACCGGCAGCTCTTCGAGTTGGAGGAGCAGGACTTGTTCCAGGACATCCAGAACCTGCCCCGAAACGCCGCCCTGAGGAAGCTCAATGACCTCGTCAAGCGGGCGCGGCTCGTCAGGGTGAGTGTGGCCGAGCGGGTGCGTGGGTCCCGTCCACGGCTCCGAGGGGGCCAAGGGCACCCCAGGATCCCTCGGGGTTCTCCACGGCTCCGACAGGGCCAAGGGCACCCCAGGATCCCTGGGGGTCTCCCAGGCTCCTTTTTTTTTCGGGGTCCGTCGGGGGTCTCCACGGGTCGGAGGGGACCAAGGGGACTCCAGGATCCTTCGGGGTTCTCCACGGCTCCGACAGGGCCAAGGGGACCCCAGGATCCTTGGGGTTCTCCATGGCTCCAACGGGGCCAAGGGGACCCCAGGATCCCTCGGGGTTCTCCACGGGTCTGAGGGGACCAAGGGGACTCCAGGATCCTTCGGGGTTCTCCACGGCTCCGACAGGGCCAAGGGGACCCCAGGACTCCTTGGGGTTCTCCATGGCTCCGACAGGGCCGAGGGGACTCCAGGACTCCTCGGGGTTCTCCATGGCTCTGACGGGACCAAGGGGACCCCAGGATCCTTGGGGTTCTCCATGGCTCCGACGGGGCCAAGGGGACCCCAGGATCCCTCGGGGTTCTCCACGGGTCTGACGGGGCCAAGGGGACCCCAGGACTCCTCGGGGTTCTCCACGGGTCTGAGGGGACCAAGGGGACCCCAGGATCCCTCGGGGTTCTCCAC